CCGAAGTCCTTATGGAATTTCCGGAGTAAAAATGCGAGGTCCGGAGTAGGGAGCATTTTCCGAAGCAAACAACACTTTTCCGGAGTCATCAGGTGGAGTTCCGAAGTGAACAGTACTTTCCGGAGTCATCAGGCGGAGTTTCGAAGTCAGAAGCGATCAGTGGTCTCGACCGAGGTGCTTCCGAACCGAAGTGGGGTAAGGACTTCCGGAGCTGCGAACCTATCCGGATGAGAGGCTTCCGAGATGAGCTTCCTCTTGGCTTCCTTAGGAGACATTCCAGACTAAGAGGTTCCGGACCAAGAGGGTTCCGGACCAAGAGATTCCGGACCAAGAGGGTTCCGGACCAAGAGGTTCCGGACCAAAAGGGTCCTTTTGGGGTTTCCTCTTCCGATTTTGAGCTGTTTTCGACTAAGGAAGGTATTTAGGGAGATTTGAGAGAGATTTGAGATACGTGGAGAGATTTGGGAGAGATTTCACATACTTGGAGAGATTTGGGACAGATTCACTATTCTTGGAGAGATTTCGCATACTTAGAGAGATTTTGGAGAGATTCACTATTCTTGGAGAGATTTGGGAGAGATTCACTATTCTTGGAGAGATTTCGCATACTTAGAGAGATTTGGGAGAGATTCACTATTCTTGGAGAGATTTCGCATATTTAGGGAGATTTGGGAGAGATTTCACATACTTGGAGAGATTTGGGAGAGATTCACTATACTTGGAGAGATTTGCATTCTAACACTCTATGGCTCCTTAGGAACTCATATTGAACACTTAGGAGTGTTAGCACAATCTCACAATAGTCCTTACTTACCTGAGGACGAAATTTCCTAGCAAAAAGTGCTAGTTGTGACATCATCCCCCCGTTAGAGGGAATTCCGTCCCGAAATTCTTTCGAAAGATAGAGTCATGAATGCGAAAATCGGTGAAGGTGTTTTTGATTCATTTGGTGTTTGCACTCCCAAGTGAATTCCGGCTCACGCCTAGCGTTCTCTCGAACCTTCACAATCGGGATGCGGTTTTGTAAGAACTTGAGGATTGTAGAGAGGTTATTGATGCTACTACTGCCCTAATCACCTTCAAAAATGGTGTCGTCTACGTAGAAGATGTGAGATATGTGTGGATGGGTGATTTAATGATATTAGTCTAAAGGGGTGGTCATTTTGTAAATGCCACAATCCATTTAGGTTATTTTGTGATTATGCCGAACAAAAATCATATACCATATATTCATCAAACTACAACAACCCTTTTATAAAATCCATTTTACTCCAAATGTCAGTTGCATTTTTGACTTTTGGAACAAGACTATCTAAGAACAAATGTCGACATCTCAAGGCAAACCTAAGAACAAAAAAACGATTTGCAATTTATGTGTTAGAATCTATATCTTCTTTAAGTCATGGTTTGGTAGGGAGGGGGAAACATTCCTTGTTGTTGATGATTAAAGCTTTGAACCTTTCCATTCTTCATCCATCCTACATATATATTCCAGTAAGAATATTAGGGTTAATAACGAAAAAGCACTATATTTTGTCACTTTTTCTGGTTTAACAATCCAATTTTCATTTGTGTTAAAAAAACTACTTATTTTTAGATAAAAGTTTTATCGCGACCATTATGGGCTACATTTCTGCTAAAAATATCATCAATTTTCATTTTGTGCTAAAAAATCACTTATAAATTGGTGGTTAAATTGGACTTTTGGAAAAATATTGTGTTTTTCTTGTAATAAAAACCGGCTCTAATAGGCAACAGTGGCCGTGCTACAACATTTTATAAAAAAAATGATAGTTTTTTCAAAACTTATTAAAAATTGATGGTTAAACCGGATTTTTTTGATAAATATTGTATTTTTTCGTCATTAACCGTTATACTTTCATTAACCTTTATACTTTTATGTATAATGTTGTAGTCCAAATATATCAATGATAATTTTTTAAAACTTAGATTTTAAAAGTGATTGAAAATTAATAACCCCAAAATATATAGTAAAAAATACTCACAGTGTCTCGTAAGAATAACATTGTATTATTTGAACTTCTATATAAATAGTAATAGTCTAGTTAGGATATTTGGTCCAAGAAAACGTAATTTTTTATATTACGATTTATAAATAATACTATTATTTAATTTTAAATATATCTATCAATACTAATAAAAGAATAGTTTTATAGTTATATCATTATATGTCATCATATTAATCCTCCTAATTAATATCATGCTACTTGTCAATTTATTGATACTCTATTTCAAAATTTTAAAATTTTCACTGTAATTACATTAAATTAATAACATTATAATAAAAAATAAAACAAAATTATTACAGGTGATATATTTTCACGTATTTATTTGAATCAAAGATTATAATTTTATATAACTAAAAAATATATTTTAAGTAATATATTATTTAATATAGTTAATTAATAATTTTGAGTTTTTACTATTAAAGTTTAATTAATTTTGTAACAGTGGTTCCCACGAATTATCAGCTACTATAAATAATATATCAATATTATACTTATTTGTAAGGAATTAAAAACCATAAATTTTGATATATTTTTTATAAAATTTTAATATATGTGATTTAATAATAATTAAAAAAAAAGGTGCGGTAAAACCATAATGTGCGTCAAGCATACCGCATCAAAGCAAGGAGGGTCGGTAGGGTGTTTACCGCACACCGTGGTTTCATATCACATATCGCACTACGCGGTATAAGGTGTACCGTCAGGTCTTATGAATAGTATTATAGTTAGAATATTCAACTAGAAACATATTTTTTTTATGTTAAAAAAGGAGGAAAAATCTTTAACATATACAACTTTTTAGATTTATTAGATTTTTGGCGGGATATATACACTAAAGTCCCAATATTTTCATTGATTTGACAAGAAAGTTCTAAATTTTATTTTTTTGACAGTAAAATCCAAATTACCGGCAGTTTTTGACATTTTTACCATTTTTTTCCGGTTAGCCGGTAATTAGGATTTTTTTGTCAAAAAAATAAAGTTTAAGACTTTCTTGTCAAATCGTCAATTAGGACTTTACTGTCAAAAAATAAAGTTTATGACTTTCTTGTCAAATCGTTGAAAATATTGGGACTTTAGTGTATATATCATTTTTTTGGTTATAAATTTAATGGTATGATACTCTTTAAGCATAAGAGTTATTGAAACCTTCTCTAGTCAGCTAGATCCTATTGAAATCCTTAACGTTTGCTTCTTGTTAAATCGTTTTTTTAATCTCAACAAACCGACATTGAAAAAAATAGGAAATAATCAAGAAAGAAAGAAAGAACCAGAGTTGTGTTGGCTTTTTGCAGTCCCAAAAATGGAGAAATAAGAAACCGAAAAAAAAACGAAATTGCCCTTCTTTCCCTTCTCCACATTCACACCCTTTTGACTAGGCATGTGTTTGTATAATCTGTCCCCACTTTTTAGTTCAAAATTTGGCAGCGAAGTAAAAAGAAAGTTTTACAAGTCTTTTCACTCTTGTAACTCTTATGCTTAACGAGTATCATAGCATTAAATTTCTAACAAAAAAAATGATATATACACTAAAGTCCCAATATTTTCAACGATTTGACAACAAGTCCTAAACTTTATTTTTTTGACAGTAAAGTCCTAATTGATGATTTGACAAGAAAGTCTTAAACTTTCTTTTTTTGACAAAAAAAAGTCGTACTTACCGGCTAACAAGAAAAAAATATAAAAGTGTCAAAAACTGTCGATAATTTGGACTTTACTGTCAAAAAAATAAAATTTATGATTTTTTTGTTAAATCGATGAAAATATTGGGAATTTAGTGTATATACCCATTTTTGGCCCCCAAAAAGTTTGGGTTAGCAACGCTTGTCCGTGTCTAAAAAGAATGACTCGGCCCCCTTGAACACTTTCACTACCCATATTATAAGAAGTAAAACAATCCGGAGTGCATAAGATTTTTTTTTTTTTTTTTCAGATATAATTTTTCTATGAAAACACCACCAAAGTTGCACACACATGTGCCCCGTTTTGACGATTCTATTGAAAAAAGAATCGGTCATATGTACACGATAAAAAACATATGTTTCTCATTTTTGTAATGCAAATTTTCCAAACGGTAAATTTGTGCACTATTGGTGTTGTAAAAAAATGCAATTTAAACAGATATAAGAAGTTAGGAACTATGACAACCACAAAAAAGTTAGGAACTATGAGAACCGATTATTTGCAGTAATAAACAGTGAATATTGTAACACGATTCATATATTAAACTATGAATACTATATAAAAATAGGTTACAATATTCAAAGTTCATGCAGAAACCATGTTCCAATATTCACCTAATCCTTCGTGTAACACGATTCATATATTAAACTATGAATACTATATAAAAATGGTAAAGCCCAATAGACCATATGCTCTTGATGGACTTATTGTATTTAATACCCATGGCCCTCCCCATAACTTATCACTTTTAATTGGCCCTTTTGGTATTAAAGGTATTTAATAGCCAAATTCACAAAGACACCTTAATTAATTACATTATTACATCGGCGTTGCTCCTAATTTTAAATGCCTGGAATCATTATACGTGCAAAACCTGTTTACCTCAATAAATAAATATTTTCATAATTTACGTTTGTTTGAGCTATGTAAATAGTCTTATTAATACTCTATATTGGCTTCTTTAGTTTACGTCAAGTTTTAGCATTTCATTTTTTTAAATTATTTTGTATTTACTTCTTAAACAATTAAACCGAACGCATATAACAAAATTTGTTACTCCACTTTATCATTACTTACTCCACTATACTCCTTTAATTGAATTGGAATGTAACATAAGAAATATATTTTGAAGTTAAGAATCGTTGAAAAGATTGTGATCTTGAAGTCATATCTCACTATCTGTATAGCAGTGCTCTTCTAAGCTTCTTTTGGAGCTCTCTCGTACTTTTTTTTTTCCAATGTGAACCTCATTTATTTAGAGTGGTTATATTTAGTATTTTAAAACCTCTAGACCGCAATAGACTTACCAGCCGAAGGATTGAAACCTCGATGATTGAGCTCCCTATATTCTTGACAAAGTGCACAATATTCGCAACACAAGTGAGTTAGGCAGTCAGATGCAGGCTCTTCCATGAGTCCAAATCGGCCTCTTAGTTTGGTCCGATAATTGCATGAAACAATACATGGCATTCCAATAATCAACGCCACTACTGTATAAATCAAGCCACTCATTTCGCAAGCTGTAAAAAAAAGTAAAAATATTCATATTCTAGAAAACAATGTGAATGTATTTAATATCGCTATTTCATATACTTACACGTTCCACCATTGTCGATGGTTGCTGCAAGTTGTCCGAATGTCACACATGGACAAAACAGTGTAATGATAGCTGAAAAACAAAAACAAAAAACGATCATTTTCTTAATACACCATCACGATCTACCGAAGTGTATTACATAAAAAAGGAAGATCAAGTCCAAGACTTTATTAAATACCATTTTCAGGATCATCCATACAGTCAAACAGTCCTGTCGTCCAACCCAACCGATTTGGCAATGGTAGTTGTGGGGCATATGCTACTGGTGGTTGTGGTGGTGGCGGTGGTTGTGGGGCATATACTATTGGTGGATGTGGCGGTGGCTGTGGTTGTGGAGCATATACTACTGGTGGTTGTATAAAAAACTGTGGTTGTATAACAATTTGTGGTAGGCCTGGTGCAGCTTGCGCATGCACTGTAATACCTTCTTGTTGCTCCGGAACAAAAATTTGTTCCGATGATGGAGGTTGTGTTGATTGTTGGCTAGTTTCTGGGTATTCGTTATGAACTTGGACCTTACCATCTTCAGTAGCATTAGAGATATCATCAACACGTGTCATTGTATTAGCAAGAGAATTGAGAAATATTTAAGAGTTTTTGAGATTATGCAGTATTATTTATTTATGGATGATCAGTAACAGTAGATGCATTCATCATGCTTTCCATGTCAATTATTCTTGGGCGCGATGGCCGGCATATGATAAGATAAAAGAAAACGTGAAATGCCAAAGAGAAGATGTCCTTTTTGGTCTACACAAGGGTATTTGTCTTGTGGTAATTAACGCCCACAATTTGTCTTCTTTTCTATTGCTAGTTTCTTATAATGATGTGTAACAATGTGTCATAAGAGTTTCCCCCAAATATATACGTCCTAAATAGCCTTTTACTATAGTTTTCACAACAATAACTCACGAATTGGATATTGAAAGTATTATAAAATCTCTTTTGATTTATTTATGCAATAAGATTTCGTATTTTAGTATTCTTATTGCATTATATATAAGGCCATATATCGTAATTTTATATTCGGGAAGTAACTTTGAATACAAGAAGAAGAAGGAATGAATAGTTGATTGATCGATCTTTATGTTGAAGTAGTAATATGTTCGGCAATATTCAGAAAATTCCAACGGATTATCCCCAATGCTTAAAAAAATTATATAGTTATTTTTGTGTTTATTAAAAGTAATATATTTTCTAATTGTGGTTAAATTGATGTTTTGAAACTCGCAGAAACAAAGAAAATTAGTAGCGTATTCTATGTGGAAGAAAAAATGTAACATAAAACTTATATCTATTCTAATAAAACATTCACTCACTCTATCATATGTTCTTATTCTAGACCTTATTATTGTCACCTGTCATTTTTATACACATGTTATTTTCTAATACCCGCTCAAATTGTAACATCACGATGATAAGATCTTTCTAATTTCAACCCTATAGTTTAATTATGTTGCATTTTGGTCCCTAAGCTCAAGAAAGTGTGCAAAAGGATCCTTAGTGGCATTTTTGTAATTTTGGCCTTTGGGGGTACGCCATGCGTACGTGGTGTAAGCTGAGCGTACTAGGGCGCGCCCTAGTACGCGAGGCGTACATTAGTGTACGCGGGGCGTACTTGTCAGATATGGAAACCCTAATTTTTAGGGTGTGACTCGTATCTAAGCACTCTTATGGCCTCATTTCATCCACCTTATTTGCCTCCATCCCTTTCATACGTCATTGCAACCCTAGTTTCACCTGAGGAGCCTTTTCAAACTTAGAGTGTGTATTTTGGTGCCTTAGAAGAAGAAGGAAGGAAGCCAAGCTCATCTTAAAGGAGTGGAACACTTGGATTTGGGATTTCTACATCATTTTCAACCTTCCTAAGGTATAAAGCTTGCAACCCTCTAGCATATAGATCTATATTTGGATGTCTTTATGGAGCTTTTTGGTCCCAAAAGGTTATATCTTAGACATGACATGATCTTGACCTTTAAGCTGTCCTTTCAAACCCTAGGAGGGGTCTTAAGTCTTAAAAATGGGTTCCAAATGGCTAGTTTTGCTTCATGCATAATTTAGAAGGTCTTAATGGAATAAGACCTTGAGTTAAGCACTTATTGGTCATGCTAGATCATAAAGTTGGAGACTTTATGACACCTAAGAGTATTTTAGCCATGGGTCTAAATTATGGACATAAGAGCTTAAGCCATTAAGCTCTTAATGTATTTTGGACTTCCGAGGAGTACGCCCCGTGTACTCGTAGTACGCCCTGCGTACGAGGTCAACCACCATGATGGTGGTCAACGTGCGAGGCTGCATGTACGCCCAACGTACCTCCGGAGTACGCGCCGCGTACGCACCCTGAGTTGACCCGGTTGGGTTGACTCGGTCGGGTTGACTTAGTTGACTTAGTTGGTTCCACCAGTTGTGTAACACCCTCGAAAATCATGCCAATTTAAAACATTTGAAAACATTTAAAACCAATAATTATTACAAATTTGTTTTCAAAATAGTTTAAACATCAGAGTATCCCAAGAATGAAATCATAAAAATATAAGGAGGTGCACGATCACGCCTTCGCCTTCCCGCAATCATCAGAAATACTTGAAACATAATCAACAACTGTAAGCCCGATGCTTAGTGAGTTCCCCCAAAATACCAACGTCATGCAAATATAACCATATCAAATAAATAGCATGCATAATGAGCCATCAGCGTGACTAGACCGCCTTAGAGGCCATCAGTCTATCTGGACCGCTCACCGAGCCATCGACACGTCTGGACTGCCTCTCAGGGCCTTTAGCCTATCCGGGCCGCTCGTCGGGCCTTCGGTCTGACTAGTACGCCCTAACCGGGTCTGCAGTCTATCCGGTCCGCCCTGGGTATGTTGGCACAAGCACAAAGCATGACCGCCTCAACCCAACCCCCAATCAAACAAGCATGTGCACATAAATATCATACGCTAGCTAGCATGTACAGATAGTCATACAGATCTAACAGATCACTAATATAGCTACCATCCTATAACCAGGATACTGATCTAACAAATCTCTAACATAGCAACCATCCTATAACCAGGATACTGATCTAACAGATCACTAACATAGCAACCATCTTATAACCAGGATACAATCATAAAGGACCGGCCTTGGTGCCTTAGACCCTGTTGATATAGTGAGAATAACTCACCTCACGATGTCGAACTGTAGTGATAAGATCAAACTCCCGAATCACAGCCACGAACTCAACCACCTATAACCACCATAGGACTAAGTCCATCAAAACCCCAAATTACCAAAATACCCTCAGAAGTCCAACTGGTCAACCCTTGGTCAAAGTCAGAGTCAACGGTCAAGGTCAACAGTCCATGCTGAACCAACTCGGCGAGTGTAGCCCACTGACTCGCGAGTTCTTCCAAAACTCAAGAAATCGTGAAAACCCTAGTTGACTCGCCGAGTTTCCAGACAACTCGTCGAGTCCATGAGATGTCCAAATGTCGGGAAAAACCCTAACTAACTCGTCGAGACATCTCCCTGACTCGACGAGTCCATGCAGAACCAATACAAGCAATCTTCATCCGACTCGTCGAGTTGGCCATGCAACTCGTCGAGCCCCTTCAGTCCATTTCTCATTCAGACGTTTTTAAGCTACCCCAAAGCTCCAAATTGCAGATCTAACCACCTAGGACATGGTTTCCATGTAAAGTTGCAAACTTTACATACATGCAAGGTCCTAAATGCAAAAACCAAGCTAAGCGAGAAGTTTTAGGTAAGGAGAAGGCCATACTTGCCAGAGACTAGAACTTTATGACTATAAGGGGCTAGAGGAGTCCAGATCTGAAGTTACAACTTCATATCACACCCAAAACCAGAAATAACTTCTCAACAACTAGAAATAGTCCTAAACCTTTTCATGAAGAGATCTAGCTAGAGAGAAGTCAAGGTAACGACTTGCTACCTTCAAGATGATGCTAAGATGAAGTAGAAATCAGATCCATAAGCTTCTCCTTGCTCCAAGCTGCTTAGACTTCAAGCTCTCTTCACAAAATCCACCTTCCAAGCTTCTTAACACACAAAAATGGAGAGTAGGCACGATTATGGTTTTCTGAGCTCAATGGAAACGGTAAGGGAGACAGAGGGAGGCTAATGATCCTTTAAATAGGGTGTAAAACCTTGGAAATTAGGGTTTCATTTTCCAACTCCCACTCGTTGAGTTGGGGTCCTCCAACTCGTCGAGTAGACCTCATAAATCACGCGGCCTGATCCACTTCTACACGACGTTTTAGGGCATTCAACTCGTCGAGTAGGTCCATGAATGAGAATATAAGCTATAAAATTTATACCTGGGAGTCGGGGTGTTACAATTCTCCCCAACTTGAACTATACTTCGTCCTGGAAGTCTGCTGCGGTGAACAACTCTGGATAATGCTCCCGCATCTCTGCCTCTGTCTCCAAAGTCCACTTGCATCCCCTCCGATGCTCCCATTGTACCTTTACCAATGGTTCTTCCTTGTTCTATAGAACCTTCTCTTTCCTCTCTAGAATAGCCACTGGTCTCTCCATGTAATTCAGGCGCTCATCGACCTGAATATCATCTAACGACACTACATCTTCCTCATCCAATATGCACTTTCGCATCTGCGAGACATGGAAAGTGCTACTCCGGAAGATCCAGTCTATATGCCACTTTGCCTACCCTGGCAATGATCCTGAATGGCCCGATGTATCGGGGACCCAACTTCCTCCTCTTCCTGAAGCGAATCACACCCTTCCAGGGTGAGATCTTCAGGAGTAACATGTCACCAACCTGAAACTCCAACTCAGATCGGCGTCGGTCGGCGTAACTCTTCTGTCGACTTTGTGCGGTCTGCAACCGCTGTCTGATCTGCTGAATCATCTCGGTAGTCTGCAGGACTACCTCGGTCCGACCCATCACCTTGTGACCAACCTCGCCCCAACAGACTGGGGTGCGGCATCTCCGTCCATACAACAGCTCATAAGGTGGAGCACCAATGTTGGAGTGATATTTGTTGTTGTAGGAAAACTCTGCAAGGGGTAGGTGGGAGTCCCAGCTCCCACCGAAGTCAATGACGCAGGCCTTCAACATATCCTCGAGGGTCTGAATGTTCTGCTCGCTCTGGCCGTCTGTCTGCGCATGGTATGCAGTGCTGAAATGCAGCCACGTGCCCAGTTCCTCGTGGAACTTATGCCAGAAACGGGAGGTGAACCGAACGCCACGATCTGAAACGATAGAGACCGGAACCCCATGGCGAGCGACAATCTCGCGTATATACACATCAGCCAGCTTCTCGGTCGATGAGCTCTCCCGAATGGGCAGAAAATGGGCACTCTTGGTCAATCGATCCACGATGACCCATATAGCGTCGAAACCCTTTGCCGTTCTCGACAATTTTGTGATGAAGTCCATCGTGATCTGCTCCCATTTCCACATGGGAATCTCTAGAGGCTGCAGCTTTCCATGCGGCCTCTGGTGCTCGGCCTTGACCCTCCTACAGGTCAAGCACCTCTCAACATACCAGGCGATCTCTCGCTTCATGCACGACCACCAGTAACTCAGA